AACGGCGAAGACGAGGACGATGAAGATGAAGACGATGAAGAGGATGAAGATGCAATCACCAGTCGGCCCAGGAAGCGCCGGCGGCGAGGCCTGAACCAGTTCTTCGAAGAAGAAGCCGAAGTCGACGAGGACGACGATGAACTCGAAGCCGAGGAGGACGATCTTGGGCCCGATTTCATCGAGCAGAATCACCCCGACGACGACCTCCCCCCCGAAGCAGACCAGGATGACGCGAGACACAGAGAGCTGGACCGCCAGCGGCAGATCGAGGCGTCGATGGATCTGGAGAAGCAGGCGGCCGCTTACAAAGAGCGGTACGGTCGAAGAACAACCACGGCCTTGAGCCAGGGCTCCTTTGTGCCACAGAACCTGCTCATGCCGGACGTCAACGATCCAAGTATCTGGGGAGTTCGATGCAAAGCTGGAAAAGAGAGAGAAATTGTCAGTCGGATCATGAAGAAATACTTTGAGAGCAAGGGTCGGAACCAGCTGCAAATCTGTTCAGTCTTTGAAAGAGGCGATGGTCCCATGGCCGGGTACATCTTTGTCGAGGCTCTGAAGAAGAGCGATGTCGAAGATGCCCTGACCAACATCCCGGACGTCTATCCGCGATCCAAGATGAATCTGGTCCCAGTCAAGGAAATGCCTGACTTGTTGAGGACTAGAAAGGACAAGGAGCTGGAAGTCGGTGGTTACGTGCGCATTAAGCGAGGCCTCTACATGGGCGACTTGGCCATGATCGAGGACGTCGAAACGAATGGTCTCGAAGTGACACTCCGACTGGTCCCCAGACTTTCCTACGGCTTGGAAGAGGACCAGGGACGACCGGCTCTCGCAGATGCAAAGCGCAAACGACCAAACGCATTCGGGCCAATCAACACGTTTCAAAATCGACCACCACAGAGGCTATTCAACGAGCTCGAAGCGAAGAAGAGGCACGAGCGATTTGTCACACAGAACAGAGGGCTGACCGGAAAGAGCTTCACCTACAAGGGCGACACCTACGAGAATGGATTTCTGATCAAAGAATTCAAGTTGCAGCACCTTATCACCGAGAACGTCAACCCAAAGCTCGAGGAGATCACAAAGCTCACCAAAACCGCCGCCGACGGCTCCGAGCTGCTTGATCTCGAAACTCTGGCCCACAGTCTCCGGAACACGACTGCCGAAGGCAACTACATGCCTGGCGACGAGGTCGAGGTCTACGAGGGTGAACAGAGAGGCATCGTCGGCAAGACGGAAGCTGTCCATGGCAACATTGTCTCCATTATGGTGTCCGAGGGCGAACTGACCGGCCAGCTCGTCGAGGTGCCTGTCAAGGGTCTGCGGAAACGCTTCAAGGAGGGTGACAACGTCAAGATCATTGGTGGTAGCAAGTACCGCGATGAAGTGGGAATGGTGCTGCGAATCAAGGATGATAAGGTCACGGTCCTCACCAACAACAGCAACGACGAAATCACCGTCTTTAGCAAAGATCTCCGGGAAGCCACCGACTCGGGCAGTGGTGGCGCCGGAACCAGCAAGTTCGACGTGCAAGAACTGGTGCAGGTCGATCCCACGACAGTTGGGTGTGTGATCAGAGCTGACCGGGATTCGGTTCGGATTCTTGATCAGAATGGCTCGGTCATGACAAAGATACCATCACAGATCCAGAAGATCGAAGCCCGGAAGAATGCGGTCGCGACGGATAAGAATGGTTCAGAGATCCGCATAGGCGACGTGGTCCGCGAGTCTGGCGGAGAAGGGAAATCTGGAACGATTCTCCATATCCACCGAGGGTATGTCTTTTGCCACAACAAGCTCGGGATCGAGAATTCGGGTATCTGGGTCAACCGGTGCACAAATGTCATCACCACGGCGGCAAAGGGTGGGCGCATCACAGCCCCGACTACAGATCTGACCAAGATGAATCCCGCTCTTCAGATGAAGCGACCAGACATGGCCATGCCGCCTCCACAGCGACCTGGGCGAGATCCTCTTCAGGGGAAGCTGGTGCATATCAATAAGGGAACGTACAAAGGTCACCGTGCTCTTGTCAAAGACACGACAGCTGGCGAAGCAAGACTTGAACTTCAAACGAAGAACAAGGTCATCAATGTCAGCAAGTTTGATTTGTCAATCATTGAGTAAGTTCTTTGTCTTTTGTACTATTTGCTCTACTGACACTCTACAGCCCCAACTCGCAGAATCGGACAAGATATGAAGACTGGATCAGGCAGCGTGGCGGCCCATCGGCAATCAGAGCAGGACCTGGTGTTCCTGGCTCCCGGATTCCCGATGCAGGTTTTGGAGGCCGAACACCCATGGGCGTCATGGACGGAGGCCGAACTCCAGCATGGGGTTCCTCATCAAGGACGCCTGCCTGGAGTGGTCCTGGAGCTGCGAGTCTCGATTCCAGCCGCACCCCATCGTGGAAGGCACCTTCGGGCTCTCAGACATCGTATGGAGGTGGTGGCATGACTTCGTACGGCGGCGCAGGCAACTACTCGACCAACGCAGGCTCCCGCACACCAGCGTGGAGCTCCGGCGCAAAGACTCCCTACGGTGGCGACCACGGATTCAGCTCTTCGGGTAATCAGGGCTTCGACGCCTTTGCCACCGGCTCCCGCACTCCAGCATATAACCCAGCGTCGTCACGGACTCCAGCCTGGGGCGGGCCCGGCAGTTCTGCAGCGTCGGCTCCCACGCCTGGCGCGCGTCCTTACGATGCGCCGACTCCGGGAATCTCAGCGCCCACGCCGTCTGCGTCTGGACCTGGCCGCTATGATGACGAGGCATACACTCCATACCTCAGCGCCCCGACCCCAGGCGCATCAGCAACCGCACCACAGGATGCACCGACTCCAGCGCCCCCGAGCTTCGCAAAGAGCGCAAACCGCGAGCCGTTGAAAGCCAATCGGCTGGCCGTGTTTGACGCACCGACCCCTGCTGCAAGTGCACCGACACCGTACGCCAGCGGCGCCTTTGACGCGCCCACCCCGGCAGCAGGGGGACCTCGATACGTGGATGACGACGATGACGATGAGTAGTGATCTGCTATACTACGCTGTGCTTGTGCTGTGCCGTTCATCAGGGTGGACATGGGAGAAGAAGTCTTGGAGATTTTTTTTGTACGACTAGGTAACCTCTCTAACCAATTTTTGCTGCCGCGCTTGTCTACTTACTTTACTTTATTTTTGCTTTGCTCTGCATGCTCTCCCAGTACAAGGATTTGCTCAAACTGTCTTCTTGGAGGAAGAAGGACACGGGCCTACCTAGCGAGTCATGTGATTTATTCAATTGGTTTGCTGTGCATTACAAAAACATGGGAATGAACGAGGCAGCTGCAGCAGCGGCGGCGGCGGCGGCCAAAGAAGGAGAACAAAAACTGGGCTGTGACAACAAGTGGATGTGCCGCGCAATGCAATGTGATGCGATGCAACGAAATCAAGCAGACGCGGAGCAAGTCACAGACAGACAAACAGACAGATAGATGAGATATCTGGATATCCGAATGAAAAAGTAAAAAGGACAGCTCAATCGACCAAAACCTCTCTTCATCATTGTCAGTGTCATTGTGTTTCCCTTTGCCTCTTTCGCCGTTTCGCCAAGTACTCGGTAGAGAGCAAATAGTGGAATCAAGGTCGCGTGACCCATCCCCTGCCTGCGCTTCAAACAACAAACGCAAAAACACAAAGTCAGGGGGAAATCGATTTCCTACAGGACCTCGCCCAAGTTCTCAAAGGTACAGGTTACTGGCGCACTCGTACTCGTACTCATCACTCATCGAATCGCCCAGCTGCACGGCACATGCGTGAGTGAGTGAGTGAGTGCGTGACAGACCATTCCGCATCGCTTCGGAAGCGAAGTTGCAAGGTTGCAAGATTCCCAAAAGGTCGGCCACTTTCGTCTAGGTACCGAGTGCACTCTCTCGTATGCATAGACCTTGGCTTGTTGGCCATTGTTGCGACTCGGAGCCGAAAGTATGACCCTGCCTGAGACAACGCGAGTACACGCTCGGTGTTTCCCTGTACGTACCTGAGCATCCCTCGCCAACCGGGGGGACGGGATGAGGAGTAGAGGCGAGATAACGAGTCGACCAAGGTCGGTTGGGTAGGTTGGTACCGAGAGCAATTGACGAACGAGCACTCGTCTGCTCGTGCTCGTATTGGTGGAGTGGCGCTTGCCCTTGTCGAGCAAAACAAATCAGACCTGAATTTTGATTGAAAGCACGAAATAACGTGCGAGGAGCGAAGACGAGCATATAAAAATAGTGACGACGACGGTGGAATTGCAGGGGTTCCGCTCCGTTGGGAATGTCGTCGCCTCACCTCGCCTCGCATCATCCTTGCATGATTATATGACCCACTTCCACGTCTCGCAAAGTTGCAAAGTGGTGAAATCCGTACCTACGGGAGTCTCCAGTGATCAGCGTTGAAGACAACTTGACTGCAGGGCGATCAGGATCCCGGTTTGATGGCGTCGTAGGCGAAGAATGGCGTGGGCAATGGAAGCTTTAGAAGCATTCGAAGGTTTGCAAGCGAGATAGCCCTCTTTTCGATAAACCCCATGCATCATGCACCAGGACCAAAAGGGAAACGAGGTCCGTCTTCGGTCGGGTGGAGCTACAGGGGTCTGATGGAGACATTGGACTTGTACTTGGACTTGTCCAGGTAAAGCCTTGCTGTGGGGACCGGTCCGGAAATTGCTGCTGTCAGACGGGCTCTTGCTTGGTGCTTCCGGCGGATGATACGGAAGTCAGACCAAAGCGAACCATGATGCGGAGCAAGACAAATGAACTCCCGTGTGGTGTGATTGCACGGGCGACTTCTCCTCGCTCCCATTCGCTTTGCCGCACTCCTCCAATGTGAGTGATGATTAATACAAGCAGCACTGCCCGGGAGCTCAATGCAAAGTGAACTGTCTCTTGTCCCAAGCTTTACAAAGTCCTTGGACAGACCAAAACCCCTGACTGCGCACTTTTGACTCTGCATTTTCTTGGAGCGGGAAGCTGTGGGAAAATGGCCAAGCTTGCGGAAGGAGATTCAGGAACCATTGGCTCCATCCAACAGACACCACCAAACCGCTCCAGCTCCATCAAAGTCATAGTGACAGGAGGTCTTGGATTTGTGGGTTCAGCCATTGTCCGATCTTTGCAGGAATTCCATCCCGACTGGCACGTCTGGATTCTCGATAGGCATGAGGATCCACGACAAGGAAACCCTGACGCGCGAGATGATGAGCTGGACTTACTCAGGGGTTGCAAATATGACTATGTCCAGGCGGACATCACGAACCAGGGCGGCGTCATGGATGCGCTTGCCATGATCGACGCAGATGCCGTTATCCACTCAGCAGGTATTGTGCCGTCGTTGAGCGAGAGGTAGGTACGTTTCGTAGTGCTATGCGAACGACGCGGTTCCCGGATAGCAGCTCCCGTTTGAGGCGCCGAATCTTGTTCTCTACCCTCGGGGGAGATGTGCTGCGGCGTCAGGCACTTCTATTGGTCTCGATACTTTTCTTAGGTGTAACGAGACACAGTCGCTCATTCAATTTGTTCTGGCAGGTATGCGCGACGCCTGGAAGCGTTGGTCAAAGCTGTCAACGTGGAAGGGACACGGCACATGGTCGAGGCGGCCAGAAGGAGCAGATGCAAAGCATTTGTGTACACGAGTAGTTGCTGCGCTGTGATAGACGACATGAGCCAGCCGTATGCCAACATTGATGAGAGGTGGCCAGTTGCACCCAAGTCGTCCATCTACGGCGAGAGTAAAGCCGAAGGGGAGTGGATAGTGCTGGAAGCAAACAATCAGAAAATGTCGACCTGCGTGCTGAGACCATCGGTGCTGTTTGGTGAAGGGGACAACCAGCTGATACCACCAATTCACGCCTGCATTGCCAAACAAGAGACTCGCTGGGTGATTGGGGACGCCAGGAATCTCTGGGACACGACTTACGTTGGCAATGTGGCTGACGCACACGTTCTTGCCGTCGAAAACCTGTTGGATTTGCAATCAGCGGGATCAAAGCGTGGTTGCAATGGTCAAACAAGAGCGGAAAGCGCCGCTGGGCAGATCTTCTTCATCCAAAACAACGAACCCGTCTCTTTTCGTGAATTCAGCCTTGCTGTTTGGAAAGAGTTTGGGCATTTTCCGCCCGCCTGGGAAGTTCACATTCCAGAAGGACTGGCATGGGTCTTAGGCTTGGTCGCGGAAGTCTTTACCCGAGTCTCGGGCACTCCAACGACCCTCTCGCGTGGAAGCGTGATGGACGCCTGCGCGATGCGGTATGCCAGTGGTGCTAAAGCCAGGAGGATCCTCGGCTATCACCCTCGAGTTGGCCTTGAAGCTGGAATTAGGACAAGCTGTGAGGTGAGTGCTGCCGTCTCCTCCTCTCCTCGTTTTTGAGACCACTGGCTGCCGGTTCGGTAGATTTTTGGAGGTACCTAGGCGCTGACTGATGTCGATGCGGATCAGCACTATGCTAAAAGACTGACGAGAGGCTCCTTCCGTGCCAAATGATGATGATACGCAGGACGTACGAGAAATCCACCGCGTGGGTAAATGGGGAATGCGTCGGCGACGCTACTGAGCTAAAGGTGCCGGGGCAGGGGCAGCGGTTGTAGTAGTAGACAAGGACTTCGCCATATGATAAGATCAGGTCAGCACTATGTAATCGGAGAACCGGTGCTTTGAGGGTGCGCGATTTTTGATGGCGTTGAGCAGGGTTCGCCATGGTGGCCAGAGGCCAGAAGCTAGGAACTTGGTATCGGCAGAAGGGCATCTGAGGGTTCATTGAGACTCGACGTGCGTTCTTTGCCTAGCAGTGCTTACCCAGGTTAGGATCTAGACCTGGAAAGCTGCCGGGTACCTGCTTGGGGATCCTGGAAGTGTGCAGCACCAGCGAGAATTAGTGAAGGGGGCCAAAGTCATGCACAAGGGGGGCATATCGGGTACCTGGCCGTCGGAAGCACGCACAAGACGGAAGCACGATGGTGGTGCAGGCTAGGCAGGTACCCAGGTAGTATTTCCCCATTTCTGAGCAAGCACGACCATGACAGGAAGGAGCAAGCATCCGTGGCCACTATCAGCTGTTCAGAGATTGGTATCGATGCAAGTGTTGTGCGAGTATGCCTCGGTCCTCGGGAGGCCTGTGGCTGGTGACGGGTTGAAAAGAAGGAAATGAGGTGGTGCTGCTGTTGCTGCTATGATAGCCTTGCACCAGTTCGTCGTCTCATGTTTGGTGCTGGATCCAATGACTGGTGCAACCCGGCATTTGGAATCAGTGACGTCGCCTTGTTCTTGGCAGCCGCACAGCCAATGATCTTCGCTAGCAGGGATGGCATTGACGGGTGGCGCAGGCGCAGGAAAGACGCCAATGCTAACAAGTGCAGGGTAAGTGGTAAAGCTGCAGAATAGCGAGGCTCCATCCCCTTCTCCTCCTGCTCCTCATATCCATTTCCCCCCCAGACACCTCAAGCTTCCCCTTTTCTAAAACAGCTTCTATCCACTTTCCGCTGGCTTCCTCATCAAGCCTTCCTCAATCCTAACCCGTCTCTCTCCAAACTCATTCCTGCGAAGCACAACTACTCCAAATCCCGAGTCCTCCATTTGACGAGTCGTTCGTCCCGCTGCCTCCACTACCTTCCCGCTTCCACGGCACCCCATGATCCTAGACTCGTTATTTAGCCCACAGCACCTGTACGGAGTAGCACTGGGCTTCATTATTCGGTTTCAACCCTGACGCTTCTCCAAGAGATGGATCCTTTGGAGCCTCGGGAAACTGGGACTGGATTTCTGACCATCGGGTCGCCTACCTTTACCACCGAAGCCAGTTGGTTCTGCCCTCACCCAGCTGTTGCTGAGACTCTCGGCGCTTTACGGGGTACATGTTCTCACTCCAATGACCTGATGTGGTCCCCGACTCCCTGTAAAGACCCAGACTGTTCCTGGTCCGGGCCAAAGGACACCTTTTCCGGCAGGGGCCAGCAAGTACAATAGAATCCGCAGTCCTTCTGGTTCGCTCGAGGCTTCGCAGCCCTACTTCGAGAAAATTCTGCCGCCTCCCCAAGGCCAGTGCAGATCATCTCCGTGATCGGCACCAGGGCAAGCTATTGAGCTTGGGCAGCAATAGTGTAAATGGGTCTTCTCCAGTCCTGCACCTTTCGTCACGGGTGCGATCAGCGAGACCCTCGCCCTCGGCACCCTCACTACTTGCTGCTTAGGTACATGGCTCTACGGGTAAATATGTTGTAATGGTCAAACCCTTTTTGTGACTCGGGAACTATTTGCCCCTATGCACCCCCGGTCTGCAATTATCATCTGTCTTTGAGCACTTATGCACAGCCATTGCTCTGACAAGCCTGGGCTGTGATGGCTAACTACATAATTCTTCACCAAAGCAAATAGCCGGTTCACCAGATCTTGCGACGAATTGATCTTCAGATACCTGAAAAGGACTTGGGTACCCTTGGGTTACCCATGCGACTCGCTAGCCCAACGCCTCACGCTCATCACCCGTTATGCTCCACCGACCGAATCTTAGGGGTTATGATCCACCGCTTATACTCGAAACGGCCACTCGAGGCGTTCTCGCAACCCTTGTTCTCCATGTTAGGGCTGTGCGAAACTCGACACCCCATCGTCCTAGACGGACTTAGCAGTGTGTACGTCCTGCACGACAGTGTCCAGCGTCTCTTGAACAACACGTCGATCAACAACACCCGCGTGACTGACAGGTGATGCAGCTCACCGTGACCTTGAGAGCACGAATCGTCCATTGAACGCGTCTCGGGCATCAAAAGAAACCTTATACTTGCGCAACAGCCCAAAATATCCAGGGATGGGGTCACGCCGCCGTTCCCAAGACGAGATTAACGGGCTTCCAGAACAACCAAGGTTCCAAACCTTTATTATTACGCGGGCCCCAACTTTTTCCCTGCCTGCGAGCAGCGAATCAAGGGCCCTTACCATGGAAGTGCTAAGGCAGACCTTGTCAGTCTGCTAAACTGGTGTACAATGGACGGCAGCGCCTCGACGCCTCGTCCATGGCCGTCGGGAACAACCCGCTGCTCAGGGTCATGGCACTTTCGTTTCAACCCCCTGTCCGTGTGGGTCTTTTCGTAAGAAAGTAGAGTCTCCCGGGGATTGCGGAATCGGTGGGAATCATCAGAGAACTTCAAGCATAGTTCTGAGGGCCGAAACTGATTCGCGTTGTCCCTCCTCTCTCCACGTGCCGTCATTGACAAGGTCAATATCCTCGTTGTCGGGTTTTCCGTTTTGTTGTTCCCTTCCGCCAGACCAAGTTCGGCATCAAAAATTATGCTCCATTACCTGATGAGTGCCCTATACGAAGCCCCCTGGCCATAGATCATTCGACAACCCTCCTGGCCGTAGTGGGAGACAAGACACCCTCACCTCCTTCCGAACTCGAATTGTTCTCTTCTTTTCTTTTCGCTTGCACACCACTTTGGTTCGCTCTGATCATGTTGGCCTTGACCTCTCCGATCAGCAATCTACAGTCTACCTACTCGTCGGGAGTCGCCCCGGGGGTCCAGTTCGCTCTTGATTTAACAGACAATACCGCGGGCATGTCGGAGAAGGAGGATTTTCTGTTTTCCAGGCAGCAGCAAGATACGGCTACCTCGAGGTCGCTGGCCGACACCTCTTCTCCATTTTCTTTCTCCAGGTACGTCGTGCACCACAGACGCTTCAATTCTCCTTCTGCTGACACGGGACCCGCCTTAGGTTTGCACAGTGGCCATCGTCCACCTACGACCCGTTTGCTGGGGAATCTGGCGGCCGCATATCTCCAGAGCGGTCGGAGAGGCTGCGGCAGAGGCTCCCTCTAGAGATCCACAACGCAGCTCGTATACCCACGGCGACTCCTGTGGGCGATCCTTTCCGACCACTCTCATTTGTATCACAGTCGTCTACATTCGCATCTGAACCGGGCTCGTATCCGCAACACGGTCTGCCACCCAGGTCGAATCCCGATGACCCCAATATGACGCTTCGGAGGCAGAGCCAGGACAGTTTTATTCTTCAGACAGGGTCTCCCACAAGTCAGGGCTATGCAGAGTACGACCTGGAAACGCAAAATCGACGGGCTTCCGAGATGGGCAGGACCGCCACTCGCTACCACACGCGGAGACGACCTTTCAACCAAGACGAGTTCGACGGGCCTTCTCAACTGCTCCCGCTGCCGGTACCGCAACAGGAGCACGCACGGTCACAGGCTTTGCCCTCGCTGCCAGTCCACCTCGACGTCGAGGAGCAGGACGAGATCACCTCTCGTGTGAATGATATTCTGTCCCGATGTGCCTTTCACTTTGTCGCCAAATACCAGTTTCCAATCCCGCTAGAAAGGGATAAACCCAGGGTGCGCACGCCGGGAGACCGCGAGTGGACCGAGTGGGCGTATTTATTGAAGAGACTGGCCACCAAGCGAAGGATCCCAGCCCGCGTGCTCTACGACAACCAAATAAAACAGTTCGTCACGACATTAGAGAACTCTATTGCCGTCAAGCAAAACAACAGAGACCAGCAGCCCAGAACGCCAAAGGACGACCGGTATATGCTGCAACTAGTCAGCGCCGCCACGCAGGTCGCGAAGATCTTGATGGATTCATTGTCTATGGAACAGCTCGACGCTCTATATAGGCAAACCGAAAGCGTAATCCTCGAAAGAAGAGCCAGACTCAGAGGGTTGGGATTTCAGTGAAACAGTCCCCGCAATCATGTTTGCTTATTCTTTGCCATTCTGCGAAGGAAGGGGGGGGGGCCTGTCCTCCTGCAATGATGCACATGCCAGATATTTATTCTCCTTGGAGGCCATTGAAATTTCTCCGCCCGCAAAAATACCCATGCTGAGTGTCAGCGAGATCGTGCAGGCTCATGATCGGACTTTGTTGCTGGCCTGTTTTTTTTCCTCACCATGTCATGAGTGGCACCCAGTCCAGTAAATGGGGAGGGGCAATTCTTGAGGCCATAGCTAAAGACCATTTGTATGTCGCACCAGCTGAGACGAAACGCAACGTTCCTATTTGCACCGACATTTACTCGGAAGACGCTTTTCGTGACAGGCACAAGCCACGAATAGGCTGACGACGCAGAATACCAGATGGATTAGCAGGTGCGTCGAGGTGCCATTACCGCGATTCAAGGCCGGGACGACCGAGGAAGGTACCCACTGACTACAAGTTACGGTAATGGTGTCCACGGATCGGATTGTACAAAAGTTCCAGCCAAGAACAATGCAATTGTGAATTGCAGCCAGGCCCCCGGTCGAAATTACTTGTACATCTGGGGGCGGAACGAAGGATTTCTCCGGGTCTTTCCCGGTATGGAGTATGTCAGACTTTCGGCTTTCCTTGCTTTTGTGAGCGATGTCGAAGGAACAATTTTGC